AAAAAAATATTCAGCCTTCCTAAACTATCCTATTTCCCAAATTATTAATAGAATGAAATTCTTAGTAAATCATTTATATATTACATTTATCCTCCTTTAAGCTTCAAAAAAGTGTTAGTATTAAAAATAATAGTATTAAAATATTTCTGCTTTTAAGCTTGAATAATCAAGCAATAAAACTTTCAGGCTGGGGTTGGGGCTATAACTCAATGGCAGAACACTTGCCTAGCAGGTGCAAGGCACTGGGTTTGATCCTCAGCACCACATAAAAATAAACAAAGGCATTCTGTCCACTTACAACTACCAAAAACAAAAACAAAAACCTTCAGGCTGAGAAAAAGAAAAAAGTGCATCTATGGCAAGGAGCCACAAGAGGGTGCCATTTTTCCATGCTGAGCAGATGCCTGAAACCTGAAGATGATCTCCAGGTTCATTTTTCTAGTTATCTGTAACCGAGACAACTTCCATCATAAAGGTTCATTAACTTGGCTACTTTACCAATGACTCTCAAACAGAACACATAAAAAAGATTCCAAGGGGAATACCCTCTTGAACCCCGAGTCCCACTGAGTCACACCTCTGTGTGTGAGGCCAGGAGCTTTGATTTGACACAGCTTGCAGCTGACCCTGGGGCAGGCCCCAGAAGCCACGCTTAAAGTTCCTGCACAGAATGCCAGCCAAGTACCTGTGGACAGAGTGGCTAGAGGTGACAATGACAATGCCAGAATGGTGCGGAGAGCTTCCTGGCTATCTATGGACTGAAACCTCTGAAACCGTGAGACCCAAATATGTCGTTTCCCCCTCTATGTTGTTCTCATCGGGTCTTTTGGACACAACACAGCAGCCAAAAAGCTGACTGAAACAGTTCTTGACCTTTGAGGCAGCATCTTGGCCTCTGGGGACAGCCCTGAAGCACAGGATTGATGCACCTTGGAGCTGCACAAACCAACGGCCCTGGATTATGAACCCATGTGAAGGGCACTGATAATGTAACAAATAGTTCTGGAGCATTGCACACCAGGGAAAAGATTACATCAGGCTTTTTGGTGGACTGTGAAGAGCTAAATAAAAGAAGAAAGTAAGTGTGAGTATTTAACTGAATCGTAGGATAAGGAAGTCTCTAAGCATTAAAGCAAAGAAAAAAGTTATATAAGAAAAAGTGGATTTGATTACAAACTCACAAAAAAATGATATACGTCAAAAACCACAAACTGGAAGACACATGTGCAAGTAATATGACTGAGAAGGGTTAATAATTTTAACATAAGAAGAACATCTATGGGGCTGGGCTGTAGCTTAGTAGTACAGCACTTGCCTCACACATGTGAGGCACTGGGTTCGATCCTTAGCAACTCATAAAAAAAAATAAATGAATGAATAAAGATATTTTATCCATCTATAATTAAAAAGATATTTTAAAAAATAAAGATCATTTAAAAAAAAAAAAAGAACATCTATGGAAGGTCAAAAAGATAGAAAGCCAGGCATGGTGGCTCACATCTGTAATCCCAGTGATTTGGGAGGCTGGGGCAGGAAGGTCTTAAGTTCAAGGCCAGTCCAGGCAATTGGCGAGATCCTGTCTTTAAAAAAAAAAAAAAAAAAAAAAAAAAAAGACTGGGGATATAGCTCATTGAATAAATGACCCTGGGTTCAATAAAAAAAAAGTGAAAATATTCAATCTCATTAGTAATTAGATGAGTGCAATTAAAATATAAGAAAACCACGTGCACTACCAATGTGGCTTTACCAAATTGACGGAGTTGTTTTTTACTTTGTTTGTTTGTTTGTTTCAGGCACATCCACTCTGGAAACCAAGTTCCTAACCTTATCCTTGTAGAAATATTCAGAGATTTGTCTACAAGGCTGTTCACTGCACCGTAAAATGTGATTTTAATATTACAAACATCCCAGACATGATAGAAAACTGAAAGTTCCCTGGCTATCCAGCAATCGTAGTTGATTGAATCAATGCCGACACCCTCTGAGGCTGGATGAGATGCGGTGGGCAGAAATCACACGATGACGGTGACAGACATGGAAAAGAGCCTTTATAAATTATTACATAAACATCAGGATAAAACTATAATCAATTTGAGCCAGATGACATAAACACATTGGCTTGACTTAAGAAACTGCCTCTGGGCTGGGGATGCAGCTCAGCGTGTAGAGCTCTTGCCCATCACGCTCAAGGCCTTGGGTTCCACTCAAGAAAAGAGACAAAGGAGACAGAGGAGAGAGAGAGAAATGGAGCCAGGGAAAGGCTGAGCCTCCAGCCCCAGAAAAGCCTTCAGCTGGAGACAAAAACAAGAATGCTCATTGTTCTAAGCTACTGAGTTTGGAGTGACTTGTTACGCAGCAACAGGTGACCAATGCACAGAAAGGGATGATCTCATGCCTCTCGTGGTATAGGCCATGATCTAGTTTTATGGGATAGGATATAGAGGGCTGGAAAAAGCCTCCTTTGCACCATCACAACACACACACACACACACACACACACACACACAACAGAAATCACGAAAACACATCAGAGAGCTGGGGTGCAGCTGGCTCCCTATTGGGGTGCAATGGGGACCACTGAGGATCCCAGACACCAGGGGGGGTTGTCTGCTGCTCCCTGTGCACCTGTTGTCTGGTCAGCACAGACAGCAGGGAAGGGTGGTCCTTCTGTGTCCCTGCACTGACCCCTTTGCTGTATCCATCCTCCAATAACAGCTATTTAACCAGCCTGAATTGCACCCCCATTGTTCCAACAACCACGTGGTTTCCTCTCTCCTAACTGGACCTTACCTGACCCGTGACACAGGTATTCAGTTCAATGCACCCATTTCTCTACCATGTTCTCCTTTAGGGGCACAGCCAAGAGCAAAGAAGACCCCCTCCTTACCCACACAAGCCTTGTCAGTTGACCCCTGATGACCTCTCCAGACTCCCCTGCTACAAACTCTACCCCACCCACCTGGCTCCCAGAACCACTCCCAGCCTGTTCCCCCAGCGTGGCAATTTTCTGGATCTCTCTGTACCCCTTGAGCCCGCTCGGAGATAGGCCAAAGAAAATGAGTCCTCCCAGAATTTGAGGAAACCTTGTAGAGAAAGATTTGTTTTCGTTTTTTGGTGTTTGCTTTATACGTTGATAAAAACAGCAGCCACAGAAAAAGAATGATTTATTCTCAGATGGATTCCTTGCTCTCTTGTTTTCCTTTCTTGTTGTCATTTTCTTTCCTGTAGAAAGTTACAAGGTGAGAAAGGGACCCCCGGGGTGTCAGGCTTAGCTCTTTTGACTCCCCTTTATAGTTTGAGTATCACCATGGCGACCTACTTCTCCCAGAGGATGGGGTGCTGAAAGAGGGTGAGGCGTGAGCCGGTGAGTTTACACACATGCAGACACACACACATGCCTGCATGAGCACACCCACGGTACACACATTCACACCCAGGTGCACACACACATTCTGGTCTGAAAACTCATCTACCCAACGAGACAATGGGGCCAACGCTTCCAACAACGTGTAAAACCACGGAGGTGTCTTGAAATTGAGAGATGACAGGAACTTCAGTTCTCGTGGTTCAATTTATAAAGTAGGATTTGAAGTGAGGGAAAAAATGGAGTCTCTACCACCTGAAGAAGGGCGACATCCCCAACACAGCAAGAATTTTAAAGAAACCAAACAAAGCCATAAAAAACAGAGCAGGCTCTGTGCTGCTGTCGCTGTGCCTGGCTTGTGTTTTAAGGGGAGGACAGCACCTGCGGGGGCAGCAGCTGGACTAGGAGAGTGATTCCCAGACATTACAATGAACACTCTGTGGCTTTCCAGAAGGCCCCAGCACATAACCGTGTCTTACTCTGAAAACACTTTATTACCTTAATACCTGCATGGCATTAAGGCCAGCTGCACACACCCACTCACAGGCCACAGCCAGCCTCCTCCCCTGCTCCCTGCCAATGCTCTTCTTCACTCTCTGTGGTCTTCAGGTAATTACTGTGACCCAGGATCATGAGGGAAGAATTGTCCTTGGTGCTGTAGAGGGGAACAAGATTCTAAAAGCACGGTTTCCACTCACACACACAAAAGCACACAAACAAATCTATAATAAAAGGAGCTTTGCAATAATTGCAGAAGAAATGTACCAACCAGAAGCTGTTGGTCTCCCAGAGGAACTGTCACTCTGAGAAGCAGGAAGTCAAGGAAACTCCCTGGAGCAGGAGTCCTAAAGAAGGGAGCTCATCTCGTGGGGGTAGAGTGGGAAGAGCCACAGGCACAGGTAACAAATGGTGTGCGGTAAGGTGCAGGAAAACTCGAGTGGAACGGGAGGACCAGTCATCAGGGCCTGTGAACTAAAGTCACGGGAGGCCATTGTTCTGGACCAAGTTCCCCCACCAGACCCCCCAAGAGACCAGACCAGACCAGACCAAAACAGTCACTCATGCCAAATGCTGCAGAAGAAAAGTGACATTTTAATGATGCAGTTAGATCCCCAAACAGACCAGTTTTTCCTGAAAAGAGTAGATTCCACCTCCTCTGAGTCAGCTGACAGGGACCCCCTCTGCTTTAACCCACCAAGTAATTTCTGATATTAGCCAATCAGCTTTCTGCACTGCTCTGTTCCCTTTTCCCACCTTACAAAAGCCACTGTCCTGCCATGGCCATCCTGGGAGCTGACTTCTATTTTGTACAGTAGAGGCTGCCCCATTCATAAATTGCAAATAAAAGCCAATTTGATCTATAACTAAATTTGTTGTGATTTTGTCTTTTAATTCTAAACCCATGAATTATTTTTAAATTTTTTCTAGTTGCAGATGGATACAATACCCTTATTTTATTCATTTATTTATTTATATGTGCTGCTGAGGATCAAACCTAGTGCCTCACACCTGTGAGGCGATTGCTCTACCACTGAGCCACAACCCCAGCTCCATGAACTTTTTTATAATCAAAAATCATAGCAGCAAATATTTTAAAACTAGGACTACATATAGTAAAAATTTTAAGAGCATTTACCTGCAGTTGGAAATTTTTTGGCTCGTTCCTCAAAGAACCATTCCCCAGTTTTTGCTTTCACGTTTCTGAAAAGCAAGCAGAAAAGAGGCCTTAGAATAGATACGAACAGTGCTGTTTCTGCCACAGTAGTGGATGTAGGGAGGGAGAAAGGGAATATCACAACATATTAATTTTAAAAGGACCAAACACCTCATTTTACCTATTTCTTACTGAGGTTAACCAATCTACAAAGCTAGTCTCCTGCCGTGGTGTGCTGTACCCTCCATGCTAAGGTACATGGGATGCATTCATATTAGCATATGCTGTGCCCAACGCAGGTCAAGAAACTTAATATTTCTGAATACACACAAAGCAAAACCGAATTGCTATGGAAACAATCGCGTTGCCATGATAATGGTGGTATATATACCAAGCAATGTCACAAAGGATAAGCTCCAGAACCGTTCAGCCTTCTGCAGTCGGCCAAGAGGAAGGTCACCCCTAGGTTAGCGACAGTGTTTACCAGGATATTTGCAGAGCACCAACAGGCCTGAGAAGGCTCCGGGGAGGAGCGGAAGTCCACCATTCTCTCTGTCAATAAGCTTTGACAGAGACCAGGGAGGTGGTTCCAAGGGCACTACCTGACATCAGGGGAACAACTGTGGTCAGCCAGTTGGTCTGGTGGCCCCCCAGGACCAGGCCTCGCAGCCGCTGGCTCTCACACATAACTGCGCACAGAGCTCCTTATGTGCTGGCTGCTTGAATCTGAGGGCCTAAAGTGTGTTTTGCTCTCGACAGTTGTGACGTTTCTGGAGAAACCAGAATTGTTAATATCCTTTAGGATGTAAAAAGGGAAACAGATATTATCAATTGTTTAATAATACACCAGATGGGCTGAGGGGGGGGTCGTGTAGCTCAATGGGAGCATTAGGAGGCCCTGGGTTTAGTGCCCCACACAGCAAAAATATTATCACTCTAAATACATAAAATGTGTCACTAAACTTGACAGCTCCTTGCCTATGCAAGTTTTTAAAAATTGAAGTTTTAACTTTTGTGGAAAGTCTTTTTTTTTTAATTTGATTTGTTGAAATGAATTCTCTGCTAGGTTTAGGCTATAACCTAAAAAATGGACTTACATGGACCTATATGGACTTACATGAACTCAAATAGATTTTTTTTTCTTTTTTAGGTGCAAGAAATCAAACCCAGGGCCTCTTGCATACTAGGCAAGCACTCTACCACTAAGCTATATCCCTAACCCCTCTAAGGAACATTTTTAAAGTTAATGCTTATGAATGCTGTTAATGTAAACAAAACTACAAATATATGCGAATCTACCTTTTTAAAATTACCTATCTTTTTCTAGCATTAGTAATTGTCAGAAGACCTCAATCAACTTTCTACCGTCATCTGGTTAAGAACTATTATTCTCTGGTTTCTACATTAATGAGTAGAACAAGGAAAATCTACAGTGTTTAAAAATTTTATGACAGAATTTTGACATTTGGTACCACATTAAGAATCAAAAATATGTAACATAGTCAACCATGATATATTCCCAGGGAGACAGAAAAACGGCTGATCCATAAAATCAGAAACTCAAATATCTCACCTTCTAGATCTACACAAAATACCTTCAGGCACCGTAGCCTCTCCACAGCCTTCCCCTCTACCTTGCAGGCCAGCAGAGCATCGGAAAACCAGGGAGGGCTGGGCTGGGCTGAGCTCAGTGGAGGGCTCTGGTTAACATGGGCAGAACCCTGAGGTCAATCCCACAAAAAAATCATCATCATCATCAGGGAGAGCGTGGAGAGGTTAATGAGAGGTAGATTCACACCCTGTGAAGTGCTCCTGTACTGGGTGTTCAATTTCTGGGGACGTAGCAGGCCAGGTCTGATCATCAGGTGAGGTGGGCAGGAGGGGGCCTGCAGCTGGCCGGTGGACTGCCCCTCCTGGGCTGTTTCTCTGGAAGTGGTGACCTGCTGGAACTCGTCTACTCTCCCACACTTCCTCACCCATGTGGCCAAAGCCCTCATACCATCTGTGGAGCCAACCAGACACAGGCTGGCCTCGAGGAGTGACCATACCCACAGATGCCCAATCCAAAAGATGAAAGGCAGTCAAGGAGACAGAGGTAAGGAAGGTGGGCACACCTGAGCAAATAAATACCCCAGATACCTCTCACTGAAAGGCTCTCCAGCCCCAGTTCAGGACCTATACACTGAGCAAACTAAAACCCTGGTCCCCTAGTGCCAGTCCCCTAAAAGAACCATCTAATCATCTCATTTAATCTCCACTGAGTCCTCATGAAGTTTGAACAGCTAAGTTGGCCCACAGAGATTTGGGCACAAACTCAGAGTTTCTTGAGCTAATCTGAATTAATGAATGAAAGGGTAAAAACATCACCATCCCTTACACTCAGGCATTGCTGGTGGGACTGCAAATTGGTGCAACCACTCTGGAAAGCAGTATGGAGATTCCTCAGAAAACTTGGAATGGATCTACCATTTGACACAGCTACCCTACTCCTCAGTTTTTACCCAAAGGACTTAAAATCAGCATACTACAGTGACACAGTCACATCAATGTTTATAGTAGCTGAGTTCACAGTAGCTAAACGAGTGAACCAACCTAGATGTCCTTCAACAGATAAATGGATAACAAAAATGTGATACATATACTCAATGGAATATTACTCAGCCTTAAAGAATAATGAAATTTTGGCATTTGCAGGTAAATGATTATAACTAAGAATATGGTGCTAAATAAAATAAGCCAATCCCCCCAAAATAAAAGCCAAATGTTTTCTCTGATAAGTGGATGCTGATCCATAGTGGGGTGGGGATGGTGATAGGGAAGAATGAAGGAACCCTGGTTTGTGTAGAGGGAAGAGAGGGGAGGGGTGGGGCTGTGGGGATGGGAAGGATGGTAAAATGAGACAGACATTGTTACCCTAAATACATGTATGATTACACTACCGGAGAGACTGTGCACCATGTACAGCCAGAGGAATGAGAAGTTGTGCACAATATGTCAAAATGCATTCTACTGTAAAACTAATTAATTAATTTAAAAAACCCACCACCATCCTAAGCTACATGAAGACCACTGATTTTTGCACTGGAGGCCGTTTCCTCTGACTGCTAGCTTTGAGCTATACCCCTTCAGACAGAACTAGCCATTATATAAGCAATTACTCCATAATGACTTTTATAAGGACTCCTGTCTACACGAGTCCTGAGTTTCAGATGGAGCACCACATAGCAACTCTCGTCTATGGGAGAAGCAAGTCAATTCTGAAGTCTCTGTCCCCCCAGGGCCAACCCAGGGTGGCATGCCTCATGACAGTAACCAAAGGAAGCCTTTGATGCCTCTTCCCAGATGATTAAATCAGAATTGGGCTAGGAGGGCTTCTTGAAACATTTTAAGAGCTTACTAGGTCAACACTCTCAGGTAAAATCATGACTTGCTTATTTAAAAATTTTCAATCAATCCATAAATGCATCTCAAAAGGCAAACACATGGGGTGTGGAGAGAGCAGGAGCTGTGGAGTCAGAGGACGATCCTTCCACTAACTAGGCGGTCCCCTGCAGGAGGATTCTTAGAAGAATCATAGCCAAGCACCTGGTGCACAGATGGTGTTTCTGGAGGTTTCAGCATCCACCTTCATGGTCTTGACCCTTCGAATGCTGTAATTTCATCAGCAAAAAAGAAACAATTGTTTAAGAGCACTTCGCAAAATTCTAGTCCACAGACATTCAACAAACGCTAAGGAGAATAGAGGATCCTAACAGAAAGCTATTTGATCTCACTACTATTACCAGTGAGCCACATGTTGGAATGCAATTTTATTTTGCATCTAAGTTGCTTGCATCTGCAGAGGCATAAGCTATGGCACCTGTGCCTTATACACCAAGAAAAGTGAACATATGCAGGCGCAGTGGCACATGCCTATAATCCCTATGGCTCTAGAGGCTGAGGCAGGAGGATTTTGAGTTCAAAGCCAGTCTCAGCAATTTAGTGAGGCCCTAAGCAATTCAGTGAGACTTTGTCTCTAAATAAAATACAAAAAAAAAGGTGGTGCTGGGGATATGGCTAAGTGATTAAGTTCCCATGAGTTCAATCTCTGGTACAAAAAAGGAAAAGAAAAGTGAGTGTTTTAAATATTAAGGTATTTTCGTCAGTCAATGCAAGAGGTGGAAAGTTGGTTTGCATAATCAGAATTCATTGACTATCTGCAAGTCCATCTGTGCAGATCTGCTCTTCCACCAGTGCCCCAATGGCAAGGAATCCTCCAGAGAGCTCTTAAGAGGGCCCTGGTGGCTCATCAGATGCATGAGCTGAAAACAGCCAAATAAAGAAGATGGATTGTAAAACTGAAAAAAAATCTAACTGCTAGTTTGTCCAACTGCTTGGGGATTCCCAGCTAGAACAGACCTGTGTGTGCACACAGTTGAAAGCTTTTACCTCAAATAATCTTGTATCTCAGATGCTTTGCAGTTACAAACCAGTGGGGTTTTTCCAGAAGCGCATCTGATCTGATTTTGACTTTCTTACAAGAAAAGAGACCAATCCTGAGTAACCATGAAGAGTCAGAGAATCAAGATGAAGATAAAGAAATGATCTCATCGAGCTGCTACCAACAGTTCTTGCAAAACATTTATAACTGTCCTTTCCTTAACTTCAGAGACAGGCAAGCCCCCAGTCACACCCCATGCCAGTCACAGCCCTAGGCACTGTGAAGATGCCCCTCTGCAGGGGGCACCCTGAGAACCAGTGATAAGGTGGGAGCCTGATGGGTGGAGCCCACAGCAGGGTGCACTGAAGTTTAGCATGTGTCATGCCCTAGAAACATGTGGGGTGGGGGGACACACTCAGGTACCAGGAGGAGGAAGTGGCTGGCACCATGGCAGGGAGGGGCAGGCACGGTGGTGAACCCACGGCCCACTATGAGGCATTGATCAGTATTAAACTCGGTGCAAAAAGCAACAAGGGCTGGGCTGCCTGGGTCTCTGATTACGAGAGTGAGTCTGGGGCTGTGACTTCTGGTTTGCTACATCTGGTTGATGAAATAAGAGAAACTCTA